AAAAAAAAAAAAAAACGTTTCTAAAATACTGAATAATACATTTATATTTATAATTTTTTTTTAAACTTTGTAAAAGCAAGAAATAAATGGCTTATTATTATTATTATTACTATAACGGATTGGATATAACGAAGCTACATTCCAACCTGATCCCTGAGAACTATATAGATAGACTAATAGCTAATTTATTGCATAGATGGGTGGACGAGCTCACAGCCCACCTGATGTTAATTGGTTACTGGAGCCCATAGACATCTGCAACGTAGACGCGCCACCCACCTTGAGATACAAGTTCTAAAGTCTCAGTATAGTTACAACGGCTACCCCACCCTTCAAACCGAAACGCATTACTGCTTCACGGCAGAAATAAGCAGGGCGGTGGTACCTATCCGCGCGGACTCACAAGAGGTCCTACCACCAGTAATTACGCAAATTATAATTTTGCGGGTTTGATTTTTATTACACGATGTTATTCCTTCACCGTGGAAGTCAATCGTGAACATTTGTTGAGTACATATTTCATTAGAAAAATTGGTACCCGCCTGCGGGATTCGAACACCGGTGCATCGCTTCAACACGAATGCACCGGACGTCTTATCCTTTAGGCCACGACGACTTCAAAAGAGAGTTTTGTAATGAAACAGTAAAATTTAGTTAGCAAGATCCCCGGATTGGGTAAAGGCCTCCTCCAAAGATGCCCAAGCGTCTCTACGTCTCTATCCTGTGCTACGTCTATCCAGTTTGGGCCAGCTGTTCGTCTAAGATCGTCTTCCCATCTGGTTAGTGGTCTCCCTCGACTTCTCTTACCCGTTGGGCCGCTCCAAGATGTAACTTTCGCAGTCCACCTCTGGTCTGTATATCTCGCGACTTGGCCAGCCCATTTCCATTTTAGTTTTAGTGCATAAGTTAGGACGTCGGTCGCGTTAGTGGTTTTTCTTATCTTAGTATGTCTTACCTTATCCATCTTCCTTATTTTGAGCATACTCCTCTCCATCCCCCTTTGACATGTCCTGATTTTATTTATGGCTTTAGAGGAGAACTTCCACGTCTGGCACCCATACGTCAGGCATGGTAAGAGACTTGAGTTCATAACTTTTGTATTGATGTCTGTGGGCATATTACTTTTGAAAATTTCCTTTAGGTTCCAAAATTTATTCCATGTCGATTGAACTCTTCTTTCCATTTCTAGTATGTCACTGTTTTTGGCAAAACTTAGCATTTTTCATATTTTAGTGGCTCTCCATTGATTGTTATAGGATTTTTCCATCTGTTGTTGGTCATTATCTTGGTTTTAATAAGGTTCATCTCGAGCCCCACCTTGATACTGGCTTGGTGTTGAGTCTCTATCATGTGTTGCATCTGGCCGGCCGTCTCTGACAGAAGTGCTAGGTCGTCTGCGAACCTAAGATGACTTAAATATTCTCCTTTTATACAAAGTCCTATTTTGTGAAAGTCCAGCTTGCCAATGATGTTTTCCAGGATTGATATAATAGTATTGGGGAAAGGGGGTCCCCCTGTCTTACTCCTCTTTGAATGGGAAACCGTGGGCCAATGGACTCGAGTTTGATCCTTCCTTTATTGTTATTGTATATACTTTGGATAGTCTTTATATATACCTAGTCAGGTCATAAATTCTGTCACATGTTTAATGTAAAATAATTGAAACAAGTTTATTCATTATGTAACCATTCATATACCAAAATGAACTTAACAAAACATAGATTCTTATGACACTAAAGTTTATTCAAAATGACCTCCGTGATTTTGAATACAGGCCTTCAATCTGCGCGGCCAGTCGTCTATCGCAGCACGAACGAGGTCCATGTCAATATCGGCGGCTGCCTTAATCAAGGATGTCTTGAGTGACTCCAAATTGGGATGAGGCTTTGAGCACGCCTTTTCCTCCAAGTGTTGCCATATCTTGTAATCTAACGGATTCAAATCTGGACT